CAATCCCTAACGCTCTGGGATTCTGTGATACCTTAGCATTAAATACCTCATAGCACCTTAAAACCAGAATAGCAACAGGCAATGTTTTGCAGTAGCTCGGTTAAGTTGATGCCTGACCTGTTTGCAGTGCTCACATCTGGTTAACATAGGGCAGTGCTTCCAGTAATGGAGATCCAACCCTTCCTCTGTGAAGGATTCGTCCCTTTCACCACAAAAAATACATAAGCTGGAAGAAAAAAACACAAACGTCAGTAACACCACAGGGTGAAGTGAAGAACCCTGTTCCTCCGTATCCCGCAGCACACGTGAAAGCTACAGTACATCGATGCCTTATTTCACACTGGCAGCTGAACACTGAACTGTGGCAATTTCTTATCCCACAAGCACCTACTCAGTAAACAAGTTCAAGGTCACACTACCCAAACACTTAAAAAATCCACGTCTAGGATTGCCTGGTGATAATTCCAAAGCTGTCAGGAGAGATTTGCTTTTTCATTGTTTCAGTGCTGAAGGTATTAGCTTTGATTTACTGGAAAAATGCTGTTACTGTTATTAGCTTGCAGGTTATACTCAGTACATAAGGTGATTAGGAGCTGCTCATCTGACTTACTTATCCAAGTAATTTGCAACAGAGCTCTCTGCAGCTGCAGGCTGTGGGCTTTCGTTCACCTGGTAACCTGTAAAAACAGAGCTATTAAAACCAAGATCACATTTGAACTTGTTTTTGTGCACGCCTAGAAATACTGCTGCTGGATCCTAAAACCAACCCCAAAACCCTGACAGAAACGTGTCACTGTGGTAAATAAGCCTGGAAAGACATCGTACCTGCATGCAGCTGGGAAACTCTTGCTTTAGTGCAGTAAAGCACTGTAATGATTGTTTTCACACATAGTAGATGATCTACCTCAGGTTGGGGAGAGATCTGAAGTGGTTTCAAGCCAAGAAATACCTCTCTCATATAAGAAGTTAACCAGTTATCTGACAGTGAGTTTTCTTTCATGACCGTAATGGTTACTTCTATGGCAGACTGAGGCTCAGCCCATCTGAAGCTCTGGCATGTCTTTAACCGAGATAATTCCATAAGCCATTAAGCATCTACAGTGTTTCAGAGACATCTTGAAATATCTTTCATTTCTTAACAATATTTGAAATTGCCTACCTTGATAGTTTGGCTTCTGAAAATCAGATTCTCTCTCCTATTGAATGAAGAAAATTAAGTCAGAAATTGCCTTAATGACACTGATGCTCGCCAGGGAGAAGGAGCAGATTATATCCTGATTTTCCTCTGGAATTAAAAGGTTGGAAGCAGAGCCAATGCATTACAATGTTTGTGCGTCTGGTCCTACAGCAAATCTGTCGGGTATTGAGGCGGCAATCTTGAGGATGGAAAACAGTCCTACCTGTACAGGCACTCTCAGATTTACCACACGACAGACAAAGAATCCCAATTTTATGCTATGGTAGGAGAAATAAACCCCCAGATTTTAAGCTGGGCTGCTGAGAATGAAAGTCAGTTACTGTATGTTGAGCATGTCACGGAGTCTCTCTTTTTTCCTAGTTTATGGTGACACAGGTGTCTAAGCCTGCGATACCAAAGAAAAAGGGATTAAAAAAATAAAAATACAACTCAAAACACCCTAACCTTTCCAGCTTGAACTTCTGCTTGAATCTCCTTTAGAGCTGCCAGCTGATCTTCCAGGACTTTTATTTCTTCCTTCTTCTGCTTCTCTGCTGCTTCTGTCGCTGCCTTTCTCCGAGCCTGGCAAGAAACACTCTCTCAATCAGAAAAGGTCTTGAACCATTTGTCATACAGAAGAGATTGCAAAACACATCAGCACAGAACAAACGCTCAGTGCAGCACAAGCAATACCCTGCTGGGTTAATGACCGGCCTGCTACAGCAATAGCAGCTATGAACTCAGCACAGCGCTCAGCTGAACGCAGTGTTTCAAGTGGCTCCGCGTGTTCTGCACTCTTATTACGTACCCTCATTTCAGCCTCAGAAAGTTTACCGTCTATTTTAGCAAGTCCATCAAAGAGCGTTTTATAGAGGACGGTCTTGCGAATGCTCGCGTCGTCTGGAGGAAGATATTCCAGCACAGCAGCCTGGTGCTCCCTGTACACATCAAAGATAATCCGCAACGCTGCGTCGCGGACTTCATGAACTCTGTGCTCCAAAGCTCCTGTCGCAAACTGGAAGTAATAATAATAATGATAGAAAAAAAAATATGCCTCTCTTTTCCCACATTTTTTAAAGGCCTGCTTATCAGACAACTATTTCACAGCAGTGGGAGAAATCTTCACACAGACAGCTTTTTGCAAACACTTGTTGACCCCGTGACTCTCTTCTCCCACACTGGCATCCTGCTGCCCCACAGGGGCGTGCGTCACCACCTCCAAGAGGCTCAAACTCTCTCCAGGAACTCACCAAGCACTCCAGAACAGGCAGACGAGTCCTAATAAAACCCCTCACGTGCTGTGCACTCAGACTCCTACCTTCATGACGTTGCTGACGGTGAACCCGGAGTGCTCGGTTCCCAAGCTCTTCAGGAGGCGCTCCACTAACTCCACCTGACTCATTGCCAGCTGCGTCGGGGAGTTCGGCTTTAACGGTTGAACCAAATGAACGGGAATGATCTGGAGAGGTCTCACTTCACCACTCAGTGCCACTTCCTACGGACAGAGAGAGACGGTGTGCGGGCAGGACTGCTAAACGAGGACAACTAACCGTCTTTGCAAAGCAGAGTTGTTCTAAGTTACTTAGGACTGGTTAAGTAAAATGCTAAGTGGGCGCTACTGCTTTGCCTTCCGTATCAGTGGAACCCTTTACAGCAGCAAACTCTGCACTTGGAGTCAAGTCTGCCAGGCACTATCCATCTGTGACACTCTTAACACAACTCAAACCCTACCTGGAAGAAAAGCACCTACCTGAATGAAGTTAGAAGCCAGAAGGCGAAGACGGGAAGAAGAGTCTCCTGTTCTAGAAAGCAAATTGGGAAGCGTCGTTTCCACACAATGAGTGGTTTCTGGTTTTCCTAGTTTATGTTTTGGTATATATTGGGTAATGATCATTTCTAAAAGTTTCAGGGAAGCTTGAAAAACCTGAGTTGAAAAGAAAAAAGAAACACTGGACAAAAATACCACACAGATCCCTGTGTTCAGACAGTATTACAACATCTTTTCTGTAGCTCTAAAGAGCGGCACGTTACAGTAACCAAGCCCAGGGCAGTCTTTTCTATGCTACCGAACACCAGCCATCACCCAGTCCTTGATCTGATCTAACAGCCGGTGTTCCCGTAGGTTTTGGGGTTTTGTTTGTTTTTAAAGCCAGCAGTAGTTTTACAAACGATTTGTTCAAAGTATCCTAGCCACACGGTTATGATTTTGGCTGCTGGTTCTTCACTGCAGCATTTCCTCTCAAACACGTCCCAACTTACTGAAGACACGACGTCTTTGATGGCTCTCTTTGCAAGGAAAACGGCAGCTCGCAGCATGTTCTTCAAGTCATCCTTTGGAGCGTGGACTGACGCTTCCGTCAGCTTCTGATACACAGCCAGTAACGCGTCCTCGCGGAACGACCACGTTTTGGAATACGCTCCTGCAACCTGGACACAGAACGAGTTTGTCTCTGAAAAGGTCAACACTGGTACTTCACTAGTTACTCAACATTTTTATACAGAAACAGCCACAGAGGAACTTAGGAAACTAAGCATGAAATCCCCAGGTGCTCCCTACAGGAACTGAGCTTTTATTGAAAGAGGTGCTTCTGCAGGTAATTTTGAAAAATGATGAGTAAAGTGGATTAAAAGGTCAGGCTCAAGGAACCATTTCAGACACAGTAATGGCTTATTTCCCCACGAAGGGCCATTCACAGTGGCAAGCTATGGCTATTCTGGCAGGGGCCATAGCCTAAAGCAGTCTACCGGGCGCTATCTCATTCACATCTCATCATTAATCAATTACTAAAGCTACAGCATCATTGAAACATTGGAAACAGGAACGCATATGTCCAAGGTCAAATTTTAATCTCAGAGTTTTAAGCAGTGGCCCCTGTTGGCAGAGCACGTATGAGATCAACTCGGCACAGATCACAGTAACGTAGCTGTTTATTTTGTTGTTCTTTACCAAAGCTTCTCCAAAAACATCGACGGCAGAGCCGGCCTCCCTCAGCGCCTTCTCCGTCAGCGGTTCTGGCTCCGCGGTAATGCCACCTCTTGGAGGGCCATCGCCATCCCCCGCAGTCAGCTCTGGCTGAAGGTAGGCAACTGCTTCATCAGGCTGCCTACAGGCAGCTGGGAGAGGCCGCTCATCGTAAGGCAAAAGTTCAACCTGAGAGAGAAGATAACATTTGCTATTCTAGACATGACTTGGATGCGAAGTTGCTGCATCGCTAATTGGATTCACCCCAGTGCACGTTTCCCCATCCAAGCAGTAGCACTTCACAGTTAAGTACAGATGTTGAAGTTTACATAATAACATCAAGAAGAAATGGAATCGGTGCCTGTGAATAAAACCCATTTCTTGTCTGCAGAATGCAGTAAAACACACCCCAAATGCCATCTGCGGAAGCGCACATGTCTACAGAAGACATCACCCGCTGACAGGAAGCCAGCAGGTCATAAAGCTTTATTTCTTAAACAAGACTAATCCCTTAGCTTTGCCAAAATTAGATGGGATAGATTTCTGTAACAGAGGCACACTACTCACATTTTCTTTGAGAAACACTTCCCTGGAGGTTGTCGGATGCGTCACGGGAGGAGGGGACTGAAGGGGAACAACGGGCTCAGCAGAAGTGGGATCTGCTGACTTCTCTTCCAGCAACGGCTCTGCTCTGCACAGCTCTGCCTTTTGTGGAGAGCCTTTGTGCTCACAAGGAGGGGAATTTGTAGCCTTTGTGTGCTGAGGACTGTCAGTGTAAATCACAGGCTCCAAAGGCAGTTCAGGTGCTTTCTGAGTCTGAGAAAGGGAAGGAGATTTTGTAAAGCAAGGCTAACGATGTACTGAAATCACAGTCAATACAGCCACAACTCTGGCAGTCAACCAGGTTCTGCTGCTTTCAAGTTGGTATCAGCCCTCACTCAGATGTGCAATCACTTCCACTGGATGCAGCGTTATGAAACAACCAGAAAATAACAGTGTGGATGTGTGCGTGGAGAGATTGTAAAGCTTCCCACCCTGAGAACAATGTAAACCTGCTCTTTATCACATGAATTCTGTATGGCTAGCCACGATGCCAGCATAAGCCTGTTATACCCCTTCAAAAAACCGAGCAAGTACCTTATGAGACTGCACTGGGTGGCCCTGCAATAACGCCAAACATCCGGGATTCTGATGTCATTTGCTTGCGATCCTCAACAGTTTAATGCAATTTATGGAGAACTAAGCATGCTCATAAAATACCACGTGCAAATCTTCGGTCAGGGAAATCCACAATCCAAACAGAAACCTTAAAACCCTGATGTAACTGTCAGAAAATACCTGCATAACAACTCTTACTCCCCGAATTTATTTTGGTTGCTCTGCCGTTTCCATTTCCCACACCCACATAATGAAGCCTCCTGAATTAGGAACACAGGTACCCACCATCAGCTCCGCATCCAGAAGGTCGTGCAGCTCCAGCTGCTGATAGACCTTCCTGCGGTACGCCTCCATCTGCTGCTTCTTCTTTTTAGCGAGATCATAATCCTCTTTCTCCACAGCATAGCGCTTCTCCACCTCGTACTGTCCAAGCCGCTCCCCCACCTAGCAGATTGCATAAGCAGCCAGCTTGAATCACGTCACTGTACACACGCACAGGTACCAGCACTGCCAGAAAAGTTATTAAATTAAGCTGATTTTAAAATTCCTATCTCGAAAATACACTGGAAATCGTTATGATATGCCAGGGTCCCCGCTGGGCGGCTGGAACAGTGCTCGGCTTCAGAGACACACAGCTTTTCAACAGTACCTTTTGCAAGTCCGCAATAGCTTGTTTGAGTTTCTTGGCGTAATCGTAGCGCTCGTGACGGACGGCCACGCGCTTCTTCTCATCCAGCCGACGGATTATCTGAGCCACTTCGGGATCCTGGTACATGTCAAACGCCAGATCGTCCAGAGGTGAAATGGAGTCGGGTTTCCTGAAGACAGAAAGTGAGTCAAATAAACTTGTCAGCTAATCCAAAAGAGAGCAGCCTGAGCACGTCTTCTCTTCTCGCCAGCAGGGAACTGACAAAATACAGAGACTGAGACCCAGTTTAGACTGAGCAGATGTTTTGCCAGGGTATAAGAAAAGAGCATCCTTACCCAACGTAAGTTCCATCTAAGGCAGGATCATCAGATTTCATCCCCAAGTACTGGTCTATCAGCTTCTCTCTGGAAGGCTTTGTAGGGCAAAAAGAAGTTAATGTGCATCCAGGAAGTGCACATTCAGGACAGAAATTCTGACTGGACAATCAACATAAGCTATGCAGTTTATAATACTTCTGGTTTGGGGCACAGGGAAACAAGAGGATTTGGAGCGGCTGAAATTGCAACCGTTCCAACTGATGGTTTTATTTTTTGTATCCACAATTATGGAGAGCTTTCTTGCTTCGAGTTATATAAAAAAATGATAAATCGATACGTGACAGCTCTGCTACAGCACAAAACCAGAAAAAGACAGCGCTGCTTCACACTTACAGTATTACTGCTGTCATTACTGCAGTCTGCTGGATCTCCGATGATGTTTATAGCTACCAGGGCCACCTGGGAGAGATTTAAGGAAAATGTAAATGCATCAGGTCGTTACTTTTTCTGTATCTTATGAAAACCAAAAAAAAAGAGGACCTGTGGTATCCAGGGTGGTGTGGAAACAGAGCAAAGCACTAAGTGCTAAATGTGCTTCATTAAAAATGTATTACCATGTCTGCAGACCACACCGCAGTCACCAACCCATCCCTTTTCTGGGCTGGGATGGACGTGAAGTCAGTGCACAGCTGAGGTGGGTGTTTGCTTTTGCTGTATTGGGATGGCTGTACGACACTGCCACTTAACGCCACATCAGGAGTGGCTTTGGAGTGACCACAAGGCTGCTCTCAAAGGAAGCACTCTGCCTTCAGCACAGAGCCCGCTCTGCAGTCAAAGCTCGAATGAAAGGCAGTAATGGGACATGCACTTGACTCGTTGGTGCTGGGTAAGCTGCACGCACTTGGCCCCAATTCCAAGTCACTCATAACCTCTGATTTGCACTTTCTGTTTTAAAAGCAACCAAAAATAAACCCAGCAGCTTTCAACCAATGTTTTTAGCATCTACAATCAAGGGAGAACATTTCTACGACTGTTCTGTACTACTGAAACGTCACACAGCTTACAAAGAAAGGACTCTTAACTCACCTGACCGTATACGTTGTACTTATTGACATAATTTTTATGGAAAATCAGCTTCAGGTACTGGCCAACTGCATCCATATACACAGACTTTAACTCTCGCGCTTTGAAGTCAGTCTTCTCATTGTCCGAGAGAGGGACGTAACTGAGAAGGAAAAAGGAACAAGTGAGCAGGGAAGCACACAAACACACAGCTGTATTTCTGCTCCTGGGGTTACAACTTGGATAAGGTCTAAAGCTCCCTCATAACTGAAACGCGCTGTGCTGTTATCTGCCAGGACTGTTCATCTGCATCACGCCTCTCACCTACGTCTTCAGCTCTGTTACAGATACAAGCAAGTACATAATCTCTTCACCCCTTGCAGCACAGTGTATCAATGCTGCATGCAAAGCATAAAGAGTATTTCCTCCTGAGGTCTTTCTGATTAAGGTAATAAAACAACTTAGAGCTTTTTGACTTACCCTAGCCTGTGAACCCTCTCTGACTGATAAGGAGCAAAGTATTCAGGCAAGCTCTCGCTGATGTAGAACTCGATCTTGCTTGAAATCATGTACTGGTGAGCAAGCAACTGCAGCTTTCGTATTCGACATCTCTCCACCAGCTGCAGAACAATTTCCTGTGGGTACTGACAGAGTCTGAAAACATACACAGTTTCTGAGCCACCTTTTCCAAGACGACTTCACCTCCAACTTCAAAAACATTTAATGATGAAACTTTCCAGAGTTATTATAGGTTAACTCAGTATTACAAATACTGTAAAATGAAACCAGAGAGTAGAAACACTCCTCACTTTATCACACCCAGGCATGTTGAGGTGTCCCACTCATTTCTACAGGATGTGCTGAGAATACCAGATTTTTAATACCGGGCCAAAACAGTTGCAAACTCCAAGACTGACAAGAACATAAACAGCTCCCTTCTTTTATTTTAAAGGACTTTATTTACATCAATACAACGCCTTTAGGTGGTAACCAAGGAACTTTTTTCCCCTAGTACAAGGATTCCATGGGATTAAAGTAACTTTTTCAGATTTGTAATCAGTTTGGTCTGGGATGCTGTAAACTGCTCAATGTGCACAATACATCTCCCTTTCATTTTAAGCTCCCCAAGTGCTTCAGAAGTGCACACACCCCTTGCACTCGCAGTACCTGGGTGATCGCCATCCGTGCACTGTCGGTGCATGAACCATCAGCTCTTTTGCGCTGAAGCCATCTTCGTGTCCCGATGAGCTAACAACAATAAAACCAATCTTGTGTGGCATCCTGTGGAAGCGAGCTAGTCAAAGCAATGATGTCTCAGGCTCAAGCGAATCCCTGGAAGGACAATAAAAGAACAGTGAATCAGTACAGCCAGGGAATTAAATCCTGTGGTTCATCAAGTCAGCAGCTGATGACTAGACGTCTGAATTTTCTTTAATTAATATTGGCACCATACTCTTCAGCAGAGCGTTTTCCTAGGGAAACGAGGGTTTGGCTAACTTGTAAAGCAGTTTGCCAACACTCAATTAGATCTGCTAATCCGAGATCTGACTTCCAAAACACGCAGAGGAGCAGCCCACACGATCCTCCGTGCACTTGAGCCAAAGGAAAAGGACAGACAATAAACACCAGGGTCAATTTAGGCAAAGGCCAGCCAGCACCTTTCACAGCTACACGAAGGGTGCCGACAGGGACAGCGGTGGAGTGGAGGCAAGGACAGACAAGAGCCAAAGACCCCCACTACCCACCGCACCCCGCTGTAGTGACATTATGGCATTAAGTTCGGCTCCCTCCCTCCTCCCCCCGGCCTCAGCC